AACAGAGAGAAGAAAAGGACAGGGAAGACAAAAAAAGTCTTGTACTAAGATATAAAAGAAGTTTGAACAAAATGCTCAAAGAAATCATTCTATGGTGTACAGCTCTGAGAGAAGTATCCAGCAAGAATTGATTCGTTTAATCTGTTGGGATGGGAAGAATCTGGATTTGTGGAAATAATTCTCATCATCTGTCTTGATATTGCTGGAGGTTAGGAGGAGGATTGCCAGAGGTTTGATGGATGACCCGCTCACTAGTTATCCAAACCTTGTTTCACGTAATGGCAAGCTATAATTAGGAGTGGCATCAAGGACTAGTGAATTCTTATCATTACATTGACGTGGTTTGCGCCAAATTCTGCCTTTTCTAAAGCTGAACATTGTATTAATTTCCAGTAAAAACAACAATCTAACTTTTCAACCAGTCTATACTCGTAATTATAAATCAATACTTTTCCAGAATAATTATTGTTGTTCTTAAAGAAAAATTTATGTTGGTGACATGTGTGATATATGAAAGTCTTACTTTCATTTTTACAGTTCTAAAGAATGCACGACAGAATGTAAGTTGGAAAATTTAGGTCACATGTATTTTCTTACAAAGTAAATTTTGCAGTGATGATGATTGATATATATATCTAATAATGACAATAAATATGTTATAACATAATCTATTGAAAGTGGATGACGGAGGCGGATTGAAATTAGTCACAAATAGAGTGAATATGCACTTTTTGAATACAGTGATATTTAGAAGGGTTGTGATATTGTGATTATAGAATTCATTGCAGAAGTGGAGAGAGAAAGGGTCATTTGCACTTCAGGTATATTGATGATACGAATAGTGCATGGGCAAAGGTGAAGGGGTGCCTTAGATTGAGGGTATCTTTAACTAGACCTTATGCATCAATAAGGTTTGCAGCTTAGAAAATGAAGTTCAAAGCCCAGGAGGTAGTGACTAACATATCCTCCTTGTGCCTGTATGGCATGATTGAGGATTAGAATAGATTGAATATTTAGCTAGGAAGGGGGAAGGGGCGCTTTAAGGTGTGAGGAGCCACCCCTTGCCTGCCCCAGTGCACACTCTTTAAGTACAAGCTCTTCTGGTGAAGACGGAATTGGATAAGTTGAAGTGTCTTCGTGCCAAAGTTTGCATTCTTCCTCCACGCCTGCTCAACGAAGGTTAATTTGTCTCCATCATCCCTCCAACAAATTTGACATTTACATGAATGACTTGAGGAGGAGCAACTTTCTTTTGGAATCGGAGACGGCCGTAGGGGAGTTAACCATGTCTCCTCAATGCCCAATCAATACGGGTGCATGTGGGCATGGCCGTGCATATTTTCATGGCGATGTTTTTGAAGACTTTCATCCAGCCAGCGAGGATGTTTGCGTGGTTGGTGTTGGGCAGCCGCGGTGTCGAAGATTGAGTTGGGTGACAGAAAAGCAGAGGGCTGTTTTTCCTGGGCGTTGCATGGACATCGATTATATTCATATCGCCCTTTGGTTTGGATCACGGATTTTGCTTTCTCTTTAATCTGTATGCTGTCTTTTTCCCTTCTCTCTTCTTGGCATGTGGTAGTGATTGGTGGGAGGTTGCAGTGTACCGTATTGTTTTTCTAGGATTATTCTTATTGGAGTTCATAGGTTACAGAACAGAGTTTTGCGTAATATTTTCTCTCTTTCTCTCTCTCTCTTCCAGGATTTCATATCATGTTTCTTTTTCAAAGGAATCAGGAAGTTTGACACAATGTCACAGAAAATCTAGAATTTAGTCTGCAAAAGGAGGGAGGAAATTGGTGTTAGAACTAAAAATGCCAAGTAACTTTTCTTCTATCATTCTTTGTTGGAGTAAACTTGACATTGCAGTTGATGGACTTTGGGAAGAAGAATGAAACTCTTTCTCATACTGTGGATGTATTCTCCTGTATTCTGTCTGTCAATGCGTGATCGATACGTTATCAATTTGTTATCAAGTTCAAGGGTTTTCTCTTCTGTTTCACATTGGATCCATGTATGGTGATTTACAGAGGAAACAAATTGATTGTTGTACCTATCATGAAGTGATCAACTCATTGGAGTAGTTTGTAGCTGTGTTCATGGGCAGATCCAGGAATTTGTTAAGGGGGTGAGGGGGGGCACTATTCAGAAATTCTCTTAGAATGAAAAAAAAAGAGGATAATCTGATAAAAAAGGGACATTTTTGAGGTTGTGTACTAAGTGTTTGTCACTTGAGTTTTTAAAGGAGATGGGGGGGGGGGGGGGAGGAGGGGTGGGCGGGTGGTTGAACCCCCTTCCCCAGCCTTTAAATCAGACAGCGGCTGTGTTCCTAGTTCTGTCTTTGCCTTTGTGCAGTACTTGGAGTGAACAAGAAGAAATGATCATGGAATATGTCATTGATTATCTGAGGTATTTTCTCACTGAAAAGTTCGATTTCACCTAAATGTACCAAACACCATTTTAAACAGTTGGGACTGATATGCTATATCAGTCAGATGGCCGTATTAGATTTTGAATCAGAATTGATTGATAAATGGGAATTGATCGCTTGCTCGTCTTTAGTGAATGAGATTCCAAACGTTTCATGTGATCTAGCTACCTGCCATTATGGCTTCTCTTGCATGTGCATCATCATCCCATCACCATGGTAATGAGCCAATGATTATAATCCCCAAAACAAACCAAGCAAAGCGAAAGTCAACAGTCGGACCAATTGCAGGGATATCCTGCCCATTAATGGAAATCCTCACTTTGGTCACTTTGGAAAGAGATCTTGTCTTCGATCTAGCTTAGCGAGCAATGATTGGCGTTCATTTTAAAGATAAAGTTGAGTTCTGGTCGTGCGATTGCATTGTGAAAGAAATGGAGTGGAATCGATAATAAAATATTGATCATGTAGCATATAAGTATTGGTGTGTACTGCAAGGTTCTAGAAACATCAAAATGATAAGAAATTTGGCCCAGTATTGGTAAAGTTACAAGCACTGTACACAAAAAGATGTCCCGGTTTTTATGCCGTTACATGCAATATTTAGAATATGAAGGCATTCAAAAAACCATGCTTTTCAGGGAACATATTTTCTTTGATGTTCTTCACACTTGCATAATAAAAATGAAAGCGCTCACAAATTATTTTTCACCTCTCCCCAGAACTCGACCTTCTCTTTAAGAAAGGAAAATTGAATCAAATCAAATCATCAACATGCACAAAATTATCATGATGCATAAAAATAAATCTATAAAGATATTTTAGATGATCTTTAAAAAATATATTGTAGTTATTTGTTATAATATTCATTATTTTGTATTTTTGGAGCCAGAAGTGCATTACATTTGTGTTCAAGTATTAGAGTTAATGCCCAACAGACAATTTATACCTCTTCGAAATTTAATGGAAATGGAATCGGAGACCATAACAAGTTATTTTATCATAATTACCAGCACTTGGGACAAAGCTTTGAACACCACATTGCTTTTGTCTCCTTTAAAGCCACACTGTACTACTTGTAGCTACTTGCGCCCTCTACATAGCAAACAATGCATAAGCGGTACCCATGATCCCCTTTTTCTTATGTTAATTGAGAGCTGATTTGATGAGATAATCACCTGTCAGTGACCACACAGGGAGGTCTAATCCCTCCTGGCCAAACTAGTGCAGACAGGCTTTAATACATTCCCAGCAAGAGTAAAAGCATGTTTGGTCAGTGAAAACAGATTTGTAGTCCATTTGCATGTTAAACCTGACTACAGTTGATGAAAGAAATGACTAATACCTACACGAGTTTATTCTTTAGGTCAATCAGAAATTTGAACCGTACACCCATTAATCTCTCCATCATGATGCTTACAGTTTTGAAATGTCGGAAGGATGAGTTTCCAGTTTCTTATTTGGAAGGAAAAATGATGTGAGTGGTGGGTAATTGCTGTTTTCCAGATTAAAAAAGAGATAACTCCAGGAAGTTTATGTGCAATAAGGATGATTAGGGTTAAAGTATTAAAGTACATATAGGCATCGGATATATCATGTTTCATTAAGGTTGATGATATATGTATTCCTTGGTTTTTATTGTCCATGTAAATCATTTCATATGGTACCTTTTCCCTCTAAATGTCAAAGCTTTGAATCTAGTAAAGTCTTTAAAAGTACACATATTACCACAAATCTAGGAGGTGTTAATTCTTATATGATGAATTGTTCCTGTCATTGTCTCATAAATTCTTAATTCTTTAATAGCCAAAGGCATTTTGCCAAGTCATTCACCTTCTTTCTCTTTCTCTCTCTCTCTCTTCCCCTCTCTAACTCTCCCTTCCTCTTCCCCCTCCCCCTCCTCTCCACCCCTCTCTCTCTCTCTCTCTCTCTCTCTCTATATATATATACATGTCTCTGTCTCTCTCTGTCTCTCTCTCTCTATATATATATCTCTCTCTCTATATCTCTCTCTCTCTGTCTCTCTCTCTCTCTATATATATATCTCTATCTATATCTCTCTTTCTCTGTTTTCTCTCCTTTCATTGCTGTGAACATCTTGTCATTATATAAACGATTCCGGGCAATGACAAGAAGACCCAATAACATGTTAACATGGTGAGGTGCGGTTTAGCATGCTGGTTTATGGCGACTATAACAAGATGCTGAATACTCTCATAGCTGGTTGAGGTTTTGTTGCTATTTTCGGAGACAGGTGGTCCCCCGCCATTTTGGTTTCATCAGTTTCTCTGCTGTAGTTTCCTTTTTATATTTACTTGAAATGTCTTCAAGTTTCACCTTCATTAAAGGACTCTAATCTTTGTGTTTTCCTGATGTTTCTTAATGTTTCTTTCAAATGTATTCCAGAGCCAAGCTCCAAATAGCTTTGACTAAATAGAGTTATTTTGTCAATTGGTGAGACAAGTTATTGCCTGTTGTTTTACTCTTTTTTTTTTATTAGTGCTCATGAGACATCTTATGGTGTCTTTGAAATGTCTTTAAGGATCCACCCTGAGGAAAAAAACATTGATCCAACTGCTCTCTTACGTCCTAGAGGTGTATTTCGAATGTCTCCAAGACCCAAACTAAGTGTAGCTTGATTAGATTGAGTTTTTTTCTTTCTTAATTGATCCAAGAACCAAAGTCCGAACGGCGTCAAACGGCCAGGGAGTGATCAATGATTTCTCTTCTCCGGAGACACCATTTTGCTTGCGTCCTTGGAAGGCAGCGTTTAATACACTGCTCTTGGCAGCATGTATCGATAGCAAATCTTAGCCTTGAAGTAAAGCTTACGTCTGGCAATTTGCATACTTTACAGTGCTCACAGGAATATATTACTGCGTCTTTTAGCCCTGGCAAATTTGAGGTTTTGATGCTTGCTTCGGAACAAGCTTTTGAGAGGGACAAAGGAGCATACCCGCATCGTCTTTCAGCTTAATGTGATTTGCCTGGAAATCGTGCATCTGTAATTGCCGATGCTCTCCAGGCTGAATAAGAATAGACAACTGAGATAAATGATGAGAGCCTGTTTGGAGATGGATAAATGAGTGCGAGGATATTGAAAATTGGAAGGATCATCAGCAATATCTGTACTGAAATTTGACTCTGTTTCGTTGGTTGGCGCAGTGTCTTTTAGACATACATGTAGCATCTATACACTGCAACGCTGGTTCTTGACACAGCACCCTTCAGACAAAACAAAACCAGAGAAGACGACATAGATAAATAAAGAGAGCATGTTTAAAGATGGATAAATAGTGCTCTGATATTGAAAAGTGGATGCAACATCGGTGATATCTACATGGGAATCTGACTCGGTTTCATGGAAGCAGCGGACTTTGCACATACATGTAGCTTCTGACCACTGAACTGCTATACGATACGAAACTCTTCGGACGGAGCGATGTTTCGGCCAAACGGACGCAGCGGAGGAGGGGCGGTCAAGGTGGTGACCGATGGGCGGTTGCCCATGGTTACCCTTGCTCCTCTCAACATCGAGGACGACGATGAAGAGGAGGAAGAAGAAACATTTGTAGAGTCAGAAAAGCTGAAGGATACAGCACCCTTTATCAAAGGTAAAACTAAAGAAATAAAATAGTTGAAGTTAATTCTCTCATTATAAAATAATACATTTTGATGATATTAAATGTTTCTTATATAGCGCCTTACCAGTTGACAACATAACCCAATCACTAGATTCAATTACTATTCTGCACATTACAGTGCAAATTTTGTCTGTTATGGGCAAGAAGGGCATTGAAAATAAGTACTTTACCAGAGTTAATGCCCTTCTAGCTCCCAAAAGAAAAGAAAAAAAAATATTTAGAAAATTATGATTTTTATTCAGTTCAAAGGATTTTTGTTTAAATACTTAAAAACTACAATTTAATGTTTGAGATTAGATTTCTTGTAGGGCTTAATTATTACTTTCATCATCAAATTTACTTACCATCCTTACCATCCTCGACATATGTCAACGTGTAATATGCCTGCCTATTCTTTGATTATGTTTTTTATGCAAATATGTTTTACATGTTGGGCCTCTGTGCATATATACTTGCATCATACTGGCATCTTCTTTGTCAATGCGATATTTAATTAGATGTCATTTGATAATGAGGTAGTGAACAAAGGACCATTTATGTATTGAGAACATTTGAATAGATACCTCCTTGAATAGTGTTGGGATCGTGAGGAAGTAGAAGAGAGTGTGAACACTTATTTCAGGTGTTCCTGTGTACTGTGAATGCATTTAAAGTAAGAGGGTGCATTCATACCCGTATGTATAACGTATCAATATAAGACCTCGTTCAGACGTACAATATAAACAGCCCTAAAAATACTGCTTTTGCCAAATTCAACATGAAAATAAATGTTGGATTTTTGTTGTTGTTGGGGGGGGGGGGGAGGGGAGGGTAATACAATGATGGCCTCTTTATCTGTGCCATAGATTATAGTAGTATGAGCACTTTACACTCATTTCATTTTTATTTTGTTGTGCTAAAATGTTATTTGAAGCAGTATATCACTTTATTCCGCAAAAAAAAAAGAAAAAAATTGAATTAAAAAAAAAAAGAGTCACATGGATGCCAAGAAAAGAAAAAGATTCAACTTAATAACTGTAACCTGAAGGTCTTCTTTTCCAATTCATGTGACTTTACAGAAATGGTAACAACAAAATGGTGAGAAACAACAAGTTTTCTTAATAGGACTTAATCTATCGATATACTTTCTTACTATGTGGACAAAAGGACAGCAATGAATATTACTGGTGAGCTGAATATTTAATTCTGAGAGGTTTATTTATTAGACTACTGGTTGGTAAAGTGTAATATTGGTAAGTACATTGTGTTATATGTAAGCTGCATCTTCTACTTAAAGATTGTTACCTTTTTTTTAATGAATTGCTATAATTGAATGTTTGTGTGTGGGTGTATGTGTATATGTGGGAGGTGGGGGGGGGGGGGGTACCGGTCTTCTAATATCTATCTCATTATCTATGCCTATTATCTTGTTATCTATCTATCCCTGGCAATGTTTATCAATTATGCAGAATTTATCGCATTTAAATATAGATGAGCGCCATCTTGAAAAGCGACCCAAGGTTAATGAAGTATTAGAGATGAGATCACCAGATGCCAATATAAGAGGCTCATTCACATTCAACAACAAAAACTTCCAGATGCTGAAACTTCTATGTACGTGTTCTAATCTACAGAATACTATCTTTTGAACAATGAAAACCTTCCTTTTCAGTGAAAATGTAAATCTGATTACATCCAAAGACCAAACGCTTTTGGTAAATTTAGATTTCTTACTGTGTATAAATCTGAGAAAGGTTTTGTTTTAGAAAGTTGTTAGACCTTAATGTTGACATATTAATATCAAATATAAGTTGCATAGTAAGTCACGCTTGGAAATTGTGTTTCAAGGAGTGTTTCATGATGAAAACAAATTCTGAAGGTGTTTTTGATGATTTGAAAATGACATTTAATAAGATTAGAAAGGGAAAAGATTATGCTCATGTTCTTAAATCTAAGAATTTTTATTATTTTACGTCTAATTTTGGTCTTGAGAGTTTGTTTCTAGAAGGTGACCATCTGCTGAAGGTATTTCCAGAAGATTTTATCCTCTTTCTCTCTCTCTCTCTCTCTCTCTCTCTCTCTCACTCTTAAATGCTCTCTGTCTCCATCTCATTCTCTGCTTCTCTCAAGATTACTCGAGCCGTGCTCCTGAAATAATGATGAAACAATCTGGGGCGGGCGGTCTTTAGGGTTCTTCAAATTTTTATATCCCCCAAGTACATACATGCAATGGACAATTGTTGTAACGGGCAAGTTTTATTGGCCATTAAGGTCTTTGCGCTTGATTAGTCACTACTAAGAGCCAACACTTTGTGGAAGTTTACTGGAATAGTGATTTATTTTGTCCACCATCTCTGGGCAAAATATACCGCCTAGGGATTATCCAAATAAAACATATAATCATGGAAAAATGGGCTTTGTGTATATTCGGATCAAGATTTACGACAGTGTTTGAGACATTATCTGGATTTTAATCATTGTTCGCAAAAAGAAGATCTGTCGAGAGATGATGTAAATTTGTAGTTGTCTCCATAAATGATTTGAGGTGTTGACTGCTACATGTAGATAACCTTCTCGTCTCACCCAGAACCTGAAGAAGAAAAGGATCATTATCTTGATATTATTGCCGCTCATGTGGCTGTTAATATTGCGTCGCTTGATTAACGCTTTGGAATGAAATGTTTTCTCCTTGGCTGGCTATGAGGTTGTATGAGGCACGCAAGTGTCTGGATCACCTCATAAGAAACATGTTACCAGAACAGCTTTGGTGATTGAGTTGCACGTAGGTTACCTGTGCTACGTGATGATTAGAAAGTGGTGCTTGCGATGTCTTCGGGTGACGCCATGGAACATACTCTGAGGAAAGATTTGAGGAACATTTCTGATATACTTGGAATATCCACACCTTTTTTCGATATGTTTTGGTGACTGGAATTCACTTATTTACTTTCATTTTGGGAAAAATTTGTTGGAATATTTCAAAGTGGTGCAGTGGATTAATGAAGATTGATGCTTATAAGTAGATTTAGGACATTGCAAGGGCGATCTACATCATAACAGGGAAATGTCATATCATTTTGTCAATTCACAAGTTTGAGCAAGTGATCTAATTTCAACATGCATATTTAGTTTCACATAGCAAGTGAACTAACTACTCTACAGTTCCTTGAAAGATGAATATTGCATTGTAAAGGGGTACGGTTTTCTGGATTTTATAGCTCCCTTCTAAGCGACACCATCTAAATTTCAAAAGATGAAAGCCAAGAAAACTAGTTCTTCATCTGGCATTTTTTCTCAGGTTTAGTCAACATCGTAATTGTTCTTCCCACAAAGGGAGAAGCTCATTAAAATCGATTTGTAATTTTTCAAATATTGTTCACAACTTGATAAAAAGAGTGAAAATATGGAACACGAAATAGAATCAGTGGGGGCAAGAATCAGAGCACCGCCTTTACGACGAAAGCAAACTGGTTATTTTGTGGAGAAAAATATAAAAGGTAAGTTTCCCATCTTCATTCATCTTCTCAGAAAAAACTGTTCAGCTGATCCAAGCATTTTTTCAATTTTGAGGCCAAAGTAATTATAAATATTGTTTCAATGTTTAGAGCTCCAGATTAATTGCTCTCAAGGCCAAGAGCCAATTTAATCTTAAGCCACACTTAACTACAGCAGACATTTAGCTACTGAACGACGTCACTCCCCAAACTCTGTACAATGAATGGTGATGGTTATTTTACCTGACTGCTAAGAAAGCACAAATGCTTGCCAGACGGCCGACGGCTTCATAGATTAATGCCTTACCAAAGGGCACTGGCGCATCACCTTGGTTTCGAACCCGGGTCACCAGATTACGAGACCACTGCTCTACCGACTGAGCTATCGCGCCTCCCTTTTGTAGTAATGACCAAACATCTATGCGTACATAGTTTTAATTTGTTTTGGTATTTTTCATAAACATTCTGCATAGTGACAGAAGGGCATTACATCATTAATATACCGGTATGCAGACATAATGTCCTTCTGGTTCTTAATCAGCAGACAATATTTACATTGTTATGTTAGATACTGCTTTATGATGTATTATCTGCTGAGAGAGGGCATTGAATCATCAGGGTTAATGTCCGTCTGGCCCCCAAGGTCAAATGATACTAAAAACCAAACATCAATGGAGATAATTTGAGCTCAGTAACAATAAAGATTTCATAACCCTCTACTCTTTATGTACTAAGCTTATTATGACCAGCATATCTCAAAATCCAAAGTCTTTCCTAGGTGCGTTTGGCTGTAATCCAAGATGGCATCAATACCAGTTCAGACTAGACAAAATTATATGAAAATTGTATAATATATTTCTTAAATTCAGTTTATTTCAAATCTCTTTAAAACATAGTACAGTCAAACCCGCTTTAGTGACCACCTGTCTAGAAAGACCACATTTTTTGTTTCCCTTAAAAATAATTTCTCTGAAAAATAGTTTCTCATTGAAACATATACTAAAGGAACCTGTACATAAAGACCACCTGCCTACAAAGACCATTTTTCTAGACAGGTTTCACTGTAATAAAAATGACAATGAACAAATTAAGCAATGAAGATTCGTCATGCAGCCAAAGGGACATATAAAGACTAGATACCAGCATCATATAAAGACACTAGTTTTGGAGAGGTCAGGTGACATAACGGCTGGCCAATCATATCCGTGCATGCTCACGATAAGGCCTAAAATAAAAACTTGTTGCATTGCCCTTTGGGTGCCAAAACATGGGTCGGTCGGTCGGAAAAGTTTTTTTTTTTTTTAACTTTTTTTTTTGTCGCCCACTTTGGGCCGATATTTTTCAGATTTGAATGTTTTTTTGTCCCGCCCTCTTTTGGCTGATATTTCTCAGTTTTTAATATTTTAATACATGTGTTTCAACATCATCATTCCATTGATATCTTTTTCACCTCATAATCATCCATGGTTTGCACGAGTGAGAATTTTGTAATAATTT